AAGGTAATTCAACGTTTATTTATCATTGATTTATATACATAGTTAGCGATATATCGCTACAGCTGAAGCAAACGGTAAATCCAGTACATTTACTATAAAATAACAATCGGCTACACAAACAGATTGTGTGGTTGCCCTGTGGTTTTTCCCTACTGACAATTTTCATTTACGGAAGGTTATAAATCCCTATTCAGCAGAGTCTCAAGCTACCGTGAGTTCGTGTTACATACCATGGTGGAAAAAGCAGTAAAGCACTTTTTGCCGAGTTTTATAATTCCCGAAGCCACATCAAATTTAGAATATTCATTTCATAACTCAAGTTATAATCAATACGGCACATTCATCGGAAACTTTGAGGTCAGTTTAATAGTCAGAGAACACAACTCTATAAAAATGAATATCAACCATAACAAAATAGCCTGTTCACAGACCCTCTATTTTCTCTTCAAAGTCCGTCGAGCGCGCGTGATTAAAAATAAACCGCGGGGGATTTATTGACCGCCAGCACAAGGGGGTAGGGGTGGCTGTCGCTTGCTCGCCTCGCTCGCGCGCTCCTTTTTCGAAAGCTGTTTTCCGAAAGAACGAAAAGAAAGATAAAACAGCGTCTGGGTACAGGCTAATAACAAAAGAAGAGAAGGTTCTACTGAACAATCAGCGGTAACGGGCGCCTGGATAAATTCTATTAGTTAGATGAATTACACGTGTCACTTGTGTCTGTCGTCTTTTAAAGACTTAACTAATATTAGAACTACGCTTGTAAAAGCTGGAACTGATTAAGACTTTCTAAATCAGTGGAAGCAGTGAATCTTTATGAAGTCATATCCCTAACCATTTTATTTCTTACTAAAACTACAGTAGTCCTATTAATAAAGTTGTTTTACTTGTATGTCACACAGGTCACACGTGTTTTCCTTTTTAACCTTTTAAATATTTTCTTTAGACTTGATGATTACGCTGCTCTGTGAAAATACTAGCGGCCTTATTTTATTTTTTTTAATAAATTAAACAGATTCTATGTACTGGCCACTGTCAGTTGTAATTGTATATAATACCATGTGTATTACTTCAGTTTTCTTTCTCTCTCTGTCTAATGTCTGCTAGCCGTACTAGACGAGGGCTACAGTTATTTGCATATTAGGACGTTGAAATATGAGTGATTGTTGTTGTAGATGTTAAAATAAATCTAGTAAGCTTTGAATTCTGAGTAACAGGGGAAACAAATAAAACTTTCATATTACTTCATGGATTTTAAACAAAACGCCCAGAATGCTTGTAAATTGTGAACGCGTAAATTGAGGAACTCCACTTTGCACTCCAAACAAACTCTTTTTTCTACAACAAAGGGATGATGTTACCCAATCCTAGATCATCACTAACAATTATTTTTCTAATTTGCTCGAGTAATAGCCATACTGTAGTTCACGTAGCTACCGACTTTAATATAAGGCTATCAATCTACCAAATACACGACTCCTTATAAGCATTTGTTCCTCAGCAAAATTTCATAAGCAAGCTAGGCAGTTAATAAGTTATTAATGGGGCTTAATAACTTATTATGCAGTTTCAAATATTCTCTTTCCGTCCGACGAAGGTTGAAGCCTGGTAACTCCTTCGGTAAGACCTGCATTTGTAACCCTGAAATGGAGATAACAAAAAGATAAACAAGTCAAACACGCTGAAATGACGACAGATGGTGTACTGGAATGGTTATTAAGAGACTTACACTTCTTCCATTTCCATTTCATCATCACTGTCACCTTGAGGCACATGAAGGTAGGGATTATCTGGAGCAGGTCGGAATTTATATCTGCAAAACCAAGAAACTCTATTACAAAAGCCTGCGACTGAACACAGACGCACACCAGGATGTCGTTTGTCCGTTTTCTTTCGGGGGGAAGGTGGAGGGGGGGGGGGGGGGGGAGCTAGCGGGCAGCCTTCGTCCTGCGTCGCTCCGGAAAAAAAATCGAAACACCCAAACCATTTTACCGCGAGTGAGCACAGCCAACCAGGAGACTAGAGGG